TCCCTCCCTCCCTCCCTCCCTCCCTTCCTTTCTTTCTTTCTTTCTCTCCCCCCCCCATGGAATGCCCCTGCTCACAGTTACGGTGGGTCCTCCTCCCACTTCTATTAACTCAATCAAGAAACCCCTCACAGACACCCCCATGGGTTTATTTCCTAGGTGACTCTCGATCTGTCAAGATGACAGTATTAATTCTCACATATATAAGAGATGGTATTTGTCTCAATGAACTGAACACTAAGGTCAAAAATCTGTCTCAGACTTTCTGAGTAGCAGTAGAAACGATCTTAATCCTTAACTTAAGTCAAGTAACTGAGACTTACAGCATTTGGCGATACATTAGAATGTATCTGATACCATTGTTTGAAAACACTGGATCATTTGTTAAGTTTTTGATTGTTGGGAAGGAAAGCATATGTGGTCAGTAAGTGGGTGAATGTTTTTTACTAGAATGTTCTACTTGTTCCTAAGATGAACAAGCCATTGCCACTTTATAAATTGCTCCATCTCCCCTAACAGATCAGCACCGTCAGGAGGAGGTTATGCTGTTGAGTGCAGAAAAAGCACCTCCTTCCTGTGGTTGCTCAGTGTATTCATTATTAGCTGAATGTAGAGAGCATGAATTTTTTAAACATTGCGTACTTGAGTTAAACCTAAACATTTTGAGCTTTCAGTTTAAGAATAAATAGAGAATTCAAATTCTGTAGTATTCTCTGTAAGACTTGCTATTTTTATAAAATGGATTTGGAATTGCTTATGATGACGTATCATTTTAATTAATATTTATTACTGTTTTTTAGCCTTGATAAGTTGCACACTGCACTTTCAGAGTTATGCTTCTCCATAAATTATGTTCCAAACATGGTAGTGTGGGAGCACACCTTCACGCCGCGCGAGTATTTGACTTCTCACCTGGAAATACGCTTCACTAAGTAAGAGAGCACACAGACTGCTATCATTGCTTCAGTTTAATGAGCTGTTTTCATTGTCTAGTACCCATCTGATACTAGCTTTTATTAGACAAAATGAGGTGAACTGGTGCAGTACAAATAGCAGTGGACTGAGAATCGTGTAGAACAGTGAACTGAGACTTCCCAGGCAGCAGGTTCCTGTCCCACACTTATCACCAGTTATTGACACTGCTAACATCAGTAAGTTTCTTCCGGAGTTTTAGTTGTCTTTCGCAGACAGTAGGTGATTTGCCGATCTATCTTCAGGCTTATGAAGGGCAAGTGAATAAGGCTGGGAGGTTAATAGGCTGCAGTCGGTAAAGAAAGAACAGAGAAGGAATATGAAAAGATGCAAGCATTGACTGTCATTAGTGTCTAGTCTGCTTTGTCTGTGCGCACCAAGCTGTTAGTTCTGAGTCGAGTTCTACAGCTATTTGACTAACACTGCATAGAGTAGCAAAAAGTCCTTTCAGTTCTATGAATGTACTTCAAACTTCTTAAAGTTAATTATTAAGGAAGTGTTTATCACTTAATAATTTATAATCTCACAAGTCTTAGTATCTGAAAATTTTGCCAAAGGATTTTCAAAGTTTTGTTGTCATTAATGAGTAATAGTTCTGTTGCTATATGCTTAACATTGTGGTAAGGAAATAGTATAATGCTTAAAACTTCAATTGGTGTGGCAAGAATACTGCAACAAGAGAACAACATGGGACTGTATAAAAACGGATTAAATTGAGTATTGAACCATTATTTGGCTAGAGAAGCAGCTGGTGTTGAGAACTGCCTTTTGTTCCCTTTATCAAATCGGATACACACACTGACAGTAAAACTCTATACCTGGTACTTAACATTCTCAGCTGGGTGGATGGCAGACTCCTGAGTAGAATCGGAGACTCAATTTTCAGACCCTGTGTTTTCTTTCTGTAAATAGTTTGGTTTGTAATCTGTGGACATACAAATATTTTCTTTTTCCTGAACCTCTGTGTAGTGGTCAGGATCAAAACAAGGGAGCAACTTGCTTTGTGTTTGTTTTGCTTTGTTTGTTTAGTTTTAGTACTTAAGTGCTGTATATCAAGAATAGCAGTTTTCATCTTGAGTTGACTTATCTGGGCGTAGTCCTAGCCATGGCTTTGTTTTGTGTGCTGTCTCAAAAATGGATCTTTACAAATACAAGTCTAAAATGTTGGCACATCTGATGCTTAAGGGGGCTTCTTAAAAAAGAGAGTAGGGGCTGGCAGCATGGCTCAGTAGGTACAGGTGCTTGCTGCCAAGCAAGCAGAACAAGGCAGGAGAGAACTGACTACAGCATTGTACTCTTACCTCCACATGTGTAACATGGCATGTATGAGCACACGCACGCATGCACGCACGCACACACTCACACCTATATAAATAAATGTAATTTAAATTTAAAAAAAATTTAAGGGAACAGGAGAGACTAATGCAGAAAAAGACCACTTAGAGAAGTGTCTTAGGGTTTCTGTTGCTGTGAAGAGACACCATGACCACAGCAACTCTTATAAAGGAAAAACATTTAATTGGGGTGGCTTACATTTTCAGAGGTTTAGTCTATTATCATGGTGTGTGACGTGGTGGCATGCAGGAAGACATGGTTCTGGAGAAGGAGCTGAAAGTCCTACATCTTTACCTGTAGCCAACAGGAAGTAGTCTATCTTTTTGGGCGTAGCTTCAGCATATATGAGACCTCAAAGCCCACCTCCACAGTGACACACTTTCTCCAACAAGGCCACACCTATTCCAACAAGGCCACACCTAATAGTGTCACTCCCTATGATCTTATGGGAGCATTTACATTCAAGCTACCAAAAGAACTATTTTCAGATTGGTGTTTCTTTTTAGCTTATATGTACAGGGGGAATAAAGATGAGTTTAATGTGCTGTTTCATTGTCATCTTGTTTTAACTATTTTGCAGTTTGTTGAAAATTAACATTAAATCAGGCAGACATTTATGGATAAGTGCTCATTCATGTTGTCAACTTTAGGTGCAGGACTTATACCTCCATAAATGCTTAATTAAACTATTTCTGTAGTTATATATTTACATTTCTTCTTAGGTGTTTGGAAACTTTGTTCATTCTAGACAGACCACCTCCAAACAGTAACTTTTTTTAGTTTACTTATGTTTTGAACCTTAGTTCTTTGTTGTTGTTGTTTATGAAATGTTAGTGATGATAACTATATAGTCATGTTAGTAAATATTGAGATTGTAGTTCATTCTTATAAAATACAAAAGGCTCAAGCAGCAGTGCCATGCAAATTTAAGCTATTGGTTAAATAACTCATCATCCTTGCTATATTAATGTAGTTTTTAAAGTCCTTTTTATGTTTAATCATTGTCATTAATTTACATTCTCAGAATGTTTTTTAATTATTTGTATTCCCAATTTACCATTTTTAGCTTATTAAGATAATGACAGTAATAATTTCATGGCTTTATTTTAAAAATCTTTAAAATTTTTATTGCTTATGTGATATTAGATGTTAGCAGATTGCATAGATTGTTTACATAAGTGGGAAAAATCTTACCTCCTTTATTATCCCCAGATCAATTGTTGGAATGACTATGTATAATCAAGCTACACAGGAAATTGCAAAACCATCAGAGCTTCTAACAAGTGTAAGAGCATACATGACTGTACTCCAGTCCATAGAGAACTATGTGCAGATCGATATCACCAGAGTATTTAATAATGTTCTTCTTCAGCAAACCCAGCACTTAGACAGTCATGGAGAGCCAACCATTACAAGTCTGTACACAAATTGGTAAGGAACACATTTAGAAATTTTGAATGATGGAAAGTTTTGTTTTGTAATGAACTCCTTAGGAAAATCATTTTATGATTAAGTGCTTATATATGAATGTATGTGTACTACGTGTATGACTGGTGCCCTCAGAGGCTAGAAACGATGATCTGATCTGATCCCCTGGAACTGTAGTCACAGCTGGTTGTGTACCAGCACATGGGTGCTGTGAACCAAACCAGGGCCTTCTTGGAGAGCAGCCAGTGCTCTTACCCTCTGAGCCATCTCTCCAACATCATGTTCTCATATATTTTATCAGTTGACTTGACACTTATATATAGGGATGCATTCCATAATAAATTTTGAACAAACTTTTTCTTCTGATTATGAATTTACTTTTCTCTTTAGGTACTTAGAAACTTTACTAAGACAAGTCAGCAATGGCCATATAGCTTATTTTCCTGCAATGAAAGCATTTGTGAATTTACCCACAGAAAATGAATTAACATTCAATGCAGAGGAATATTCTGACATATCAGGTGAATATTACATACTAATGAAGAAAACCTGATTGTTTTACATAACTTGATTTGGCTTGGTTCTTTTGGCTATTAATATGTAGTTTGTAACATGGGGTATAGTGCAGTATGTCAGTGTTTCTTAATATATTTGCTCTGTCAAGAAACTGAAATTAATTCATTTCCTTTCAGAAATGAGATCATTATCAGAGCTCCTAGGCCCATATGGGATGAAGTTCCTAAGTGAGAGTCTTATGTGGCATATTTCATCACAAGTTGCTGAACTTAAGGTATGTCAACCCATCTTGCTGTCCTTGTTTGCAGTATTGGGGTTTGAACCTATGAACTCACATGTGTTGGAGAGTGCTCTACCACTGTGCTACATCTCCAGCCCTTTTCTTATTTTTTATTTTGAAATAGAGTCTTAGTAAATTTCCCAGGCAGGCCTCAAACCTCCTTTACCAGCCTCCTAAATAGCTAGTATTCTAAATGTAGGCTGCCAAACCTGGCTTTATTCATCTTTTAAACAGTAATTCTTGTAAAGCTTTTCAAGAATGTGAGAAAACCTAGAATTTTAAATTAACCTAACATGAAATTACCAATATGTAAGTAAAATTAAAGCCTCTGAATGGTATTTTGGCTTAATTATACTCGAGAAAGCAAGAGGCCTAAAAAGGTGAATTAACTTTCAAAAGGGACTGAGTTCAGGTTTCTCAGTATTCTTAGTCAAGCCTTAATTTTGTTGCATAATGATGCTTTTATTTGATTATGTTGAAAATTCTAGCCAAAGTTATTTGTTCCAGTTTATCATTTGAGTATATTGTTTTCAACATTTCCACAGCTTGTGACATGAGCATTGTTAGGTTATTGGTATGTTAGAGATTGAATGCAAGGCCTCTCACATGGTGGGCAAATGCTCTACCACTAGCCACATAATTGGTATTTTAGTTAGGATTACTAAAATGCAATGGTGAAACATCACGAACCAAAGCAAGTTGGGGAGGGAAGAGTTTATTTGGTTTATACTTCCATATCATAGTCTATCACTGAAGGAAATCAAGATAAGAACTCAAGCAGGGCAGGAACCTGGAGGCAGGAGCTGATGCAGTCCATGGAGGGGTGCGCCTTTCTGGCTTGTTTCCCATGTCTTGTTCAGCCTGTTTTCTTTTTGTTTGTTTGTTTGTTTTTCGAGACAGGGTTTCTCTGTGTAGTTTTGGTGCCTGTCCTGGATCTCACTCTGTAGACATAGTGATCCGCCTGGCTCTGCCTCCCAAGTGCTGAGATTAAAGGCTGTGCCACCACCACCCAGCTTCAACCTGTTTTCTTATAGAACCCAGGAGCACCAGCTCAGGGATGGCACCACCCACAATTGGCTGGGTGCTCCTCCATCTATCACTTATTAGGAAAATTCTGTACAGCCAGATGTTATGGAAACATTTTCTGAATTGAGGTTCCCTCTTTTCAGATGACCCTAGCTTATATCAAGTTGACATAAAACTAGTCAGCACACCTAGCTTCGTGTGTTTTCTTTTATTTTAAATCCTTTAAGCTGGGTGAAAAAAGTCTTTAGGCTGCATAGTGTTTAAATAAAAATATTAAAGACAGTAACATTTTAAATTACCATTTTTATCATTTTAGGAATATGTCAGTGCTAAGATGAACTATATCAAATAAGTACATATATATATATTTATAAAATGACTATAGGTCTTGAGAGAATTTGATTTTGGGTCACTAAAAGTTTTGGAACTTACCAGACAAAAAGGTATGTTTTAAAATACTGTTGTGTATATAAGGATATGATGGTCCTTATTCTTGCTACTTATCTCTGCTGAATTTTCCTGACCTCTTCTTGAATTGGAAAAATACTGATCTTATGTAAACAATTTTGAGATTCCTTTATTAAAACAAAACTGTATAGTACAGAACATCTGGACTTCATGGATTTCGTTGTTTACTTTCCAGTTGTAACTCACAAGCAAGTTCTTGTGTCATTATCACAAAGGTCTGTGCCTGACTTGGCTCATTCTTCTTTTTTAAAGAAACTTGTGGTGGAGAATGTTGATGTGCTAACACAAATGAGGACCAGCTTTGACAAGCCAGACCAGATGGCTGCACTCTTTAAAAGATTGTCATGTGAGTAACTCATGGTCCTTTTTATAAACATTTGAAAGATTTAACATGCAATATTTAATTTCTAGCCAAAATTTGTAACATAAATGCAAGCCGAAAATTATGCAAAGTGCTCATTAGCGTATGAAGAGAACTAGAAAAAAGTTACAGTCAATGGAACTTTTCAGTATATATCTACTTCAGTTTTTTGTTTGTTTTTGGTCTTGGTTTTTTTTTTTTTTTTTTTTTTTTTCCTGGGGTGGGGGAGGCAGAGTCTTAACACAGATTGGCCTTAAAATTCACAAAGGTCTGCCTGTCTCTGCTTTCTGCGTTGTAGGGATTAAAGACATGTACCACTACACTGGCTTTACTTTCAGAAATGCTTGACTGTACTTTTAGTATGTGTTGATTATTAGCAAACATTGCTATTAATAAGTTCTTGAACCTATTAAATTTAATACAGTAAGTGTACATTAAGTAGACGACAAGATAATTAACTTGGGAGTCTATAACTTCCTAAAAGTCAGCTTCCCTGAAATGTGCAGACACGGAGTGAAGGCTGTGGAGTACACTGACAGGTGTCATGTCCCTGGAACCGTGGCCATCTCCACAGCCCTGTCTCTCTGTTGTCTTCTTCCTCCCCCTGCTCTCGCACAGCCGTTCCTGCCCCCATAGATTAGATTCCTATCTGGCTTCTTTGACTTTGTATGTTTCTTGGATTCACCTGTCTGTGTTGTCCACTGAGGTAATAATTTGTTCCCTTTTTTTGCTAATTAGTATTGTATGGCATGAAAACCCTGAGCCTGTCATTTACAGCTTAAAATTTTCTTTAAATATCTTCTTGAAATTGGTGGGCAATCATACTTTATTTATAATGGTAAAGGTTTTCCCAGCACTAAAAATTTAAGAAATCCAAAATAAAATTTATTTGTATTGGACAAAGGCAGAATGAGTTTATTACTGTCCAGAAATCTCACCAAAATTCCCAGGTTCCTAGGGGGAGTAGAGTGGGGGACTCAGTGATAGTGTACATGCTTAACAAATGCAAGGCCATGGCTTCTGTTGTAGCATTAATATATCTGAAACAGTATGAGTAATCTGAAACCATTAAAGCATGCATCTGATGAACTTACCACCTGACATTTTCCTTTCAGATGCTTAGACAATCACTTTATTGCGTGTGTTCTGCTTTAAAACGCCTGCTAACTAAATGAGCATAGTGCTGCAGAACCCTGGGCATGGTCTTGTAGAGCACAGCAGCAGTTCCCAGGACTGAGAAAGGAAGCAGCAGGGGAGTTTGGGGGATGATGGAGCTGTTGGCCATAGAAGCGATGTTGGCAACAAATTCGTGATAATTTCATAGAACTGGACACCAGGGGTGGGGAGTGAAGCTGAGTTTATCATGTGGTGGTTTTAAAAAGAAAAGAGATCAACTTGACAGTCTTACAAGGGAAAAGTAGAAGTAAATGGAAATTTTATGTTGTATTTTTTTTATTTTATAATTTAATTTAATTTTACATATCAGCCACGGATTCCCTTATAAATGGAAAATTTTTAACCTTTAATTTTTATTATTTTTGCTGTCTCTTTGTTTTCTTTATTCTTCTTCATTGTTTTTGTTTCTCTCAGTTTTTAGAGTCAGCTGATCGTGACCACCCTCCCAATCTTACTATACTTAACTTTCCTAGTAACAAGCAGTTTTTTGTTTGGATGTTGTCATTTGAAGCAACTAATACACTGAGCTGTTTAATACCCTGGTCCTTAACTCTACCTGTGCAGTTGAAACAAAATGGAACATGTTTAAGTTTCAAAGGGGATTTGCAAACTTCTAAAATAAAATTTATTGTCCCATATTGAGATTCTATATGATTGAATTTTATGTATAATAAGACTGGGTGGGAATTTGGTAAAACTAAAATTTAAACTGACTCTTTGTGACCTATATTTATAAAATTAGCCTTTAAATAAAATATATTAAGCCTATTTTGTGTTTTATTAGAAAAAGAAAAGATGTGCTTGAGAGAGGCTTCTTCGAGCAGATGTCTATTCTTTGGGGTGAAATGTTTCCAAAATGCTCTTGTCCTTGACCCTCCCCCCTTGAACTTCCTTCACCCCAAATGCAGAAAGCCAGAAGTTTAATTTAGAATCAGCAAGTCATTATTTTAAAGAGACAAGGTATTATGATTTATTAAAAGTGGCTCTGAATTGGGAGTCAGTGTGGGACTTGTTTTGTATTTCACTGTAGGGTTTCTGTATCACTCAAGCAAATCTCATGGTGTCCCCGGTCCTTACTTTCTGTCCTCTGACAATCTCTCTTGGAGCCAGGCTGTCCCCTGCTTCCAGACCATTTTCCTCTAGCTTTCTGCTGTGATTCTTCCCTTTGAGAATTTATTTCATTCACCTTTGCCCTCCTGTCACCCTGTCTAAAGCTACATTTCTGCAGAGCAGTATTGAAGATGGCGACTTCACTGGAAATAATTCTTCCAATTCTCAGTTGGAGTTTGGAGTTCTATGTCCCCGTGCTCCGTTCCATTGGTGGTCTTGTGTCAGTCACTAATACCCATGTTTCTGACTCTCCAGATCACCTTCCCTTTTATTCCCCCTTTTATAAATTGTGGTTAGTGAAGCTTTCTCTTTTTGTAATTACGCTTAGAGTGTATCTGTGTATGTGGAAGGTTGTGTGGAGGTCAGAGGTTGGTTCTCTCCTTCAACCATATAGGTACTGGAGCAAGCCCCTTCAGTGCCTCCTGCTTAGCTTTTTGGAATGGAATGTCTTTTCTTCTTAGTCCTTCTGTATGCCAACTAGGATGAAACTTTCTCAGATGAATCTTCTCTTTGTTTTTGTTTTCCACTCATTTCTTTCCCTTGGTAGAAGCGTCTCTTTAGTTTTCTGTTACATTGCTTTCATTAATGGTCTGCTAGTCTGCTGGTCAGCAGGCACTAACATACTGTAGACAGATAAAAAGATGAATAGATTGCTTTTTGTGGAACTGATCAGGTATTTGTGACATTTTGTTAGCGGTTTTTATGTTTATCACATTTAGCTCATATTATTCTTGCTTCATTGCTTAATAAAAACTTTATAGTGTGTGTTTAAATTCTTAGAAAGTCCAAACAGAACACTTCAATCCCTTCTCTTCAACTTGCATCTGTGGTTTTTTTTATACATCTTTTTCTAGAAATTTATTTGAATTGTTTCTAATATAAATGCAGTCAAATTTTAGAGGCTTGTATGTATGTGTGTGTGTGATATTTAAGTGAATGTGTACATGGATACACATTTCTAGAGCCCCAAGGCTTATATTAGGTGTCCTCCTCAATTGTTTCTCCATGTTATGTTTTTGAGATGAGGTTGTCCCAGAACCTGGAGCTTCAGTCATACAGGATGACTAGCCAGTACACCCTAGGGATCCTCCTGTATCCACTCCATGACACTAGAATTACATGAGTATGCAGGCATGCCCAGCTCAAGATGTGGGTGCTCAAGATCCAAACCACACTTTACCCACTGAGTTCTTTCCCTAACCTCCTACTTTCTTATCGATTAAGATTGCTTGCGTTTTCTTTTTTTTTTTTTTTTTTTTTTTTTTTTTTTTTTTTTTTTTTTTTTTTTTTTGGTTTTTCAAGACAGGGTTTCTCTGTGTAGCTTTGCTGCACCTTTCCTGGATCTCGCTCTGTAGACCAGGCTGGCCTCGAACTCACAAAGATCTGCCTGCCTCTGCCTCCCAGTGTTGGGATTAAAGGCGTACGCCACCAACGCCCGGCGCATTTTTCTATATTTATGTCATTACATAGTCCATTGCCTTGTATAGGGTACTTAGTAAAATATTCCCTTTGAATCCCATTCTCTTATTTTGTTAGCACAGTTTGAGTATTAAGTATAGAGTAATCATCTTCAAAGTTATTTTCTCTAAGCAACATGCACATGATCAAGTCCATCACCATGGGTTCCAGTAACTTAGCTCTGCACCACCTATTTATAATCTCCTTCCCATCCAGCACTGATCAGGATGGTTCTGCTTAGCTTCTGAGACCACAGGTGTTCGGGGTGGTATTTTCATAGACCTGCTTATGATCTTAATAAGCAGTTCTTCCATTTTTGGCCACAACTTAGGAATTTTCTCCAGGGGATTAGAGAGATAGCTCAGCAGTTAAAAGGTACTTGCTATTCTTACAGAGGACTGCAGTTTGGTTCCAGGTTCTCATCAGTAGCACACAACTGCCTGTAACCACAACTCCCAATTCCAAGGGATCTGATACCATCTTCTGGCCTCCTTGGACACTCACACATTTATGTCACACAGAGAGTCTCATAGAAATGCACATTTTTTAAAAAATTAAAATGGGAAGTCAGACGGCAGTGGTGCACACTTTTAATCCCAGCACTTGAGAGGCAGGCTCTGAGTTCAAGGTCAGCAGGTGTACAGAGCATGTTCTAGGACAACCAGGGATACACATAGGGAAACCCTCTCTTGAAACCTCCTCCAACCCCCCAAAATTAAAATACCTGGAGAGATGACTCTGAGGTTAAGAGCACTGGCTGCTTTTCCAGAGAACCTGTGTTCTACTCCCAGCACCCACATGGCAACATAACCCTCTGTAACTCCAGTCCCAGGGATCTGATGCCAGCTTCTGGCTTCTGCAAATACCTATCACACATACATGCAGTCAAAACATCCATAAAATAAAATAAAATAAAATAAAATAAAATAAAATAAAATAAAATAAAACTTTTAAAAACAAAGTAAGTTATTCAAAGTTCCTATACCATCTGAGGGTTTAACTCCTAACCATCCTGATGGCTTTCTCCCCAGCTCTCGCCCTACTCCTACCTCCACCAAGTTTATGAGGGGATTGCATACTATTTCAAGATCTTGATGAATGTCAACTTCCAATACATTTACAAGAAAAGAGTTTTAATATATGTGTGTGAATTGATAAATAATTTAAAGTTTAAATATTGGCTATCAATACATTTACCTCTTTAAACACTGTTGAATTAAATTGCAATTAGTCAGTATTTATTCTAGAAATTTTGATTTTGAGAATTTTCTCTAAAGCTAAAAAAAGTCAGTTTATGGTTGTTGTTTTTTTTCCTTCTCGCCTTCCTTGTAATTTAGCTGTTGACAGTGTCTTGAAAAGGATGACGATAATCGGTGTCATTTTATCCTTCCGGTCATTGGCACAAGAAGCACTGAGAGATGTAAGAAATCATTTCCATATCATCTCTTTATTTTCCAAAAGTTAAAATTCACAGCAGTGTTTAGAGTCAAATTACAGTTTGCATAGTAATGGTAAATAAAGTATGTTTTTTGGTTTGGTATTGGAATTTGGTTAATACACTATTTCAGCTTTGCTCTACATTAAAGTGTTCCTTTTGAACTGTACTCATCTTAGCACTGAATAGGTATCATTTCCATGTGTTTTGACCTTTTAGAAAGGTCTAGTGAAGTAGATAAATACTTTCTGTGTGCAAACTTGACCTTATCAAATGGTAGTATTTCATCAGTGTACAGTGCTGACCTTGTTGTTTATTGTCCTGCCTAGGTTTTATCCTACCACATTCCTTTCCTCGTGAGTTCCATTGAAGATTTCAAGGATCACATTCCAAGGGAAACTGACATGAAGGTAGAGCTTTTGTAGTTTGTTGTTTGAAAGTGAGATGTTTGCCCACATGTAAAATCAAATGTAACAAACCTGAAAATAGCGTGCATGCCTGTGCTGTTGCTCTCTGAGCTCACAACACCAAAACTTCTTAAGCATTCTGATCAACTAAAAGGACATAAAATTTGTTAAAATTTGATCTCCCCCCCCCCCCAATTATGACAGCTTTTTCTTGCATGGTCATAAAGCAGCAAGATGAGTTGTTTTAAATTCACTTGTAGTCAGTTTTCAAAATAAATATTTAAAAGACTTGTAGAAAATTGCTGTAGTTTAATCAAAACCAGTTTTCTTTTTTTTTTAAGTGTTAAATGGAGTTTTAATAAAGTAAATGATGAGTATAACAAGAACATCTTGTCATGTGCAATATGACAAAGCTCATTGAAAAGTATATATGTTGCTTTCCTATAAGTAGCTTGCAATCCAAAATACATAATGGAAAACATTGATAATGGCATACTGTAGGCATCTTATTTTTTAATTAATGAATATAAGATAGGAAGTCAATAGCTTTTTTTTTTTTTTTTTTTTTTGGTTTTTCGAGACAGGGTTTCTCTGTGTAGCTTTGCGCCTTTCCTGGAGCTCACTTGGTAGCCCAGGCTGGCCTCGAACTCACAGAGATCCGCCTGGCTCTGCCTCCCGAGTGCTGGGATTAAAGGCGTGCGCCACCAACGCCCGGCGTCAATAGCTTTTTAAAGGTCTATAGTTATTTGTTTTAAATTTTTTGATCCATGTGATCCAACCACTGGTTTAATCCCAGCTGTGATTTCCTACTGTATTTAAACCATGTGATGAACAAAGAGGTGTAGTTACTGCAAGGGTCCATGTTTGACAGATGATTTTATACTTAGAGAGAGAGAGAGAGAGACAGACAGACTGACTGACTGTGTGTCTGTCTCTCTCCCGGGGATCAAACACAGTTGTCAGGCTTGGTGGAAAGTGCCTCTGCCTAATGAACCATCTTGCCAGCGTCCTCTGCATATTTTGACTCTTGAATAGTATTCAAGTTTCAAAGTGATGCCTTCCAAACTTTAGAGTGGGATGGGGTTGGAATGTCTTCCTACATATCTGGACTTAGTATTTTACATCCGTGATTCTAAGACAACAGTAACTGGAGAATGAACCTGTGGAACTTGCCACAGAGGGGCTGCAGATCTCGTTGTCCACTGTGGGTTAGCTACCTGCTTCAGCCAAGTTGCCGAAATCCTCTAGCATGTTTCTAGGCATAAATATTGTCTTACTAAAGTGAACTTTCTCACAAGTCTGTTAAGACATTGATTTCTTTGTAACTCTTGTCTTTTGTCAGGTTGCGATGAATGTCTATGAGTTGTCATCAGCTGCTGGATTACCGTGTGAGATTGACCCTGCCTTAGTCGTAGCTCTCTCCTCACAAAAGTCAGGTAAAGTGCATTAGCAGATATGTAGTATTCCTCTAAAATGATAGGGCAGCCTTGGTGTGCATGTGGTAGTTACTTTTGCAAATGCCTTCTTAGTATTAAGCTTTAATTTTTTTAATTGCTGTTTGGAGTTTTCTGTAGTGTAGTCATTACATACATACTGTCTGAGCTATACTCCCAGATGAGTCTGTCAAAGCCACTTAGTGTAGATAGATGCATCAATGCAGAGGAACAACACCATTTCAGCTTTAATGAGCTCAGGGAGGTGAAGGACCAGTGGAGTTAGAGAAAAACAAACAAACACTGGGGAGAAAGCTCTTAAGACAGTAGAAAGGGAATTATCAGCTGTGTAGCGATAGTGAGCTGTGATGACGGGATCGCTGTCAGTGGACTTCTACACAGCGTTCGCTCAGATGAATGGGAGGAAAGGGATTGCACACAGTAAGTTTGGAACAGCTCTGTCGGGAGCAAGGACATGATGTCATAATAGCTAGAGGAAGGAGGAAAATCAAGACTTGGTTTTTGTGTGCTTGAGCTATGCCCAAGCTTATGAAAAGGACTTTGTGTGATGGAGAAGTTGAGAGCATTTGTATACTGGTGGAAGACTGTCCTTATGATAGCTAGGAAGTTGGTAACTAGAAAATAGTGTCCCCTTTTAATTAGAATATTCACCATAAAATAGTAGATATGTAATACTGATCATTTAGAAATTTTAAGGCCAGTCCTTTGAAACATAGTACCAAAAATGTTCCATATAATTCTAGGTTTGTCCACAGTGTAAAAAAGTTTTGTTTTGTTTGTATTGAAATGCCCTTCTCTACTCTTGATTTTATTTTATTTTTTAAATTTTTACTTACTTTGTGTGTATGAGTGTTTTGCCTGCACTCACGTATCTGTACCACATGCATACCTGGTGCCCAAGAAGTGAAGAAAAGGGCATCAGCCCTTGGGACTGGAGTTACAGATGGTTGTGAGCCACCCTGTGGGTATTGGGAGCTGAACCTAGGTCCTCTGGAAGAGTAGCAAGTACTCTTAGCCACTGAGCCATCTCCAGCCCTCTTTTCAATTTCTTTTGAGCCAAAGTATAGTCTTTGAGTTCATTACTTTTCCTATTAGTTACACTTCGTTTTCATCATTCAAATGATTTATTATTGCTTAAAAGTACTTCTTATGATCACCCAAAATTTTAAAATACTATGTAATTTGGTTTTTTTCCTGTGATCAATCCATAGTTATGTATAATTGCAAACTGCTGGGGAACTAGAAGTTCCTGGGTATCAGGTAAGAAGTCAGGTGCTAGACAGAACAATTTAAATACCGTAAATATTTTTTTAAAAGATGTATTTATTTATTATGTACACAGTGCTCTGCCTGCATGTATGCTTGCATGCCAGAAGAGAGCACCAGATCTCATTATAGACGGTTGTGAGCCACCATGTGGTTGCTGGGAATTGAACTCATGACTTCTGGAAGAACAGTCAGTGCTCTTAACCTCTGAGCCATCTCTCCAGCCCCCCCGTAAATATTTTTGTAAAGGTTACTGTCTTACAGCTATAGAGCATGCTAGATATTCTCATTCATAACTGCTTCCTTTTGTTTTCTAGAATGGAGATATAGGTACTGCAGTCCCCTTTTTAATATTGGTATCCTTTAAGCAATGTATTTAAAATGACATTATTCATAGCTGTCTTGGGGAAAGAAATATGTTTTTCTTTCAGTGAGTTTTCAGATTATGAGATATAAATAATTTATAAATGGCGATATATATGGTGTTCTCATAATTTTTCATCACTTTTCAATTAGAAAATTTAGATAAAAAATTTTTATTACCTTTACTTTTTTCTAGGTTAGATTATTAGCTTCTAAATAATCTTGAAGCAAAGCTTGATCTTTATTCCTCATTTTTCTTTAGAGAACATTAGTCCAGAAGAAGAGTATAAGATTGCTTGTCTCCTGATGGTCTTTGTAGCAGTTTCCTTGCCTACTCTGGCCAGCAATGTGATGTCGCAGTACAGCCCTGCTATAGAAGGTACCTGCCTTAAAATTGTTGGGACACTGAAGGGTCATTGGTTTTAATATAACATATACTGTTTGCTGTGTGTTCTGCTAGTTAATGTTCTTTTCTGATAAAATATAGATTAAGTTCTGCCAAACAGTAGCTTTGCAATGGGCATCTGTTTTTTGTTTTTGTTTTTGTTTTTTTTGAAGTCGTAGTTTTCTAAACTATGACATGTGTGTAGATCAGTCAGCTAGAAAGTACAGCAGAGGATGCTGAGTGAGCATGCCCAGATCATGGGGTGATTTTAGGACTGAGAGATGTCGTGCTCTAAAGCAGCTTAGCCGTTAACATTTACATTCCCAGGGTGTACATCTGAGTGTTTGCCTGCTAATGAAATACTGACTGATCATTGCATGCATCTTTGCTGTGATAGTTACGAGCACTCGTGCCCATAAAAGGAAAAGAGTAAATCACTCTGCACCCTAACTCTTAGCCATACTGCTGTTTATGTAGCCTGAGGAGTCATTAAAGGCTTGCCTTCTGTGTGTTACAAAGTTTTGGGGTCACACAAACTACGTATTCCTGTTTGTACTTTCTCAGGACACTGCAACAATATACATTGTTTGGCCAAAGCCATCAACCAGATCGCTGCAGCTTTGTTTACAATTCACAAAGGAAGTATTGAAGACCGACTTAAAGAATTCCTGGCGGTATGTCTATTCAAATATCAGAACTCATGACATTTTACAAAGCAAACAAAATTTATGTAACAGTAAATTCCCATTACTTTTACATTTTACTTAATTTTTTTCCAGTGATATTTTTGTTCCCAATTTATTAAATATATAAATCTCGCTTATTTTTTAATGTTTTGTTTTTGGAAAGAGAACAGGTTACATCAAGTTTACCATTGTTTTCCCTCCTGCTTGGATGTCTTCCCTTCTCTGCCATATGACCTTTTTGCTTAAACTAATGTTTGGACCAGAGATTTTCTCCACATTTGAAAGATTGTTTTCTTCCTTTAAAGGAAAAATGGAAGCAAAGAAAGATAATGTGTCCTTTAAAAGATCACACATGGTAACAAACTCCGCCATAAAATACTGCTTGAGAGCTGTGATGGAATGGCTATATTTTGACTAACGGGGAGGCAGAGATAGGGTTACAAGTTGCAGGCCAGCTAGCCTGAGCTAAAGAGTGAGAACCTCTCTCCACAATAACAAGGGGCCAGAGAGATAGCTCGTCAGTTAAGATTGTTTGCTTCTCAGTTCCCAGAACTACATTGCACAGCTCACAACCAGCCGTGACTCCAGTTCCAGGGGTCTGACATTCTGACCAGCATGGGCACTGGCACGCACATGGCATATTCAGGCACTCACATGTAAAAGAAAAATAAATAAATAAATAAAAATAAAAACAGTAGCAAAAGGTATTTTTCCTTACTTCCACTTAGTTGAAGAAACACTATTAATGAGTACAAACTCAACAATGAAAATATGATTTTCGGGGCTGGAGAGATGGCTCAGCAGTTAAGCATGCTTACTGCTCTTCCAGAGGAGCCAGGTTCAGTTCCTAGCACCCACACCAGACTTCTCAAAACTGCCTTGGGATCTGATGCCCACTTACACACAAACTCATGCAGGCATATAAATACACACATAAACAAAAATAAACTATAAAAATGTGACTTGCTACTAAAAGACAGTAATGTTAAATCTGTCAGTCAGACAGCATGTCTTTTTCATATTTGCTTAAGAGACTTTAAAAAACCCTCTAGAACCTTTGAGTTTTTCTTTATTGAAAATTCTGTAAGCCTTTAAATTTAAAATATATAATTTAAGGAGAAAACTTAAGTTTGAAAACAGTATTACAATTCAGTTGTTTTCCTTTTATTTGCTGTATTTTGTTCTGGGTTTAATGTCCTTCCTTGCAAATTCAAACTATGAATTCAAACCTAGTTTGAAATTGTCTTCTTATTTAAGACCTAAAAAATACACAAAAAATTTCCCTCTTATCAATAAAATAAGCATTCAAAGTCTCTCACCCCAAGAGGGTACCTGAAGCCAGGGGATAGGACTGAACCACATACATTGGGGTTGGGAATTTAGCTCAGTGGTAGAGCGCTTGCTAGGCCCTGGGTTCGGTCCTCAGCTGGGGTGGGGGTGGGAGTGGGGGGTGGACAGAGAAAAAAAAAAGAAAAAGTATATCCAATAAGTATATACAATATACACAGTCAAGAATTACATTAACGATGTCTAGTCCATTAACATTTGACAGATTCAGACAAAAAACTCCATTAATATATAACAATGTCCAGTCCATTAACATTTGACAAATTCAGACAAAAAAATTTCATTACTTATCCTATTTCAAACAAGTAGTTCCTTTTTAAAAGTAGATTCCATAATCTCCCTTTTTATTTTATATCTATATTCTCTCTTTTTTCTTTTCATAATAGATTCAATAATCTTATTTTTATATCTTCCCCTTTTTCCTTTTAGAGTAGATTCAATGATCTACCCATTTATTCTATTATTTCTTTATCTTTTTTCTCAGAGTAGATTCAATAATTTACTTTATGTCTATAAAATTATCATGACTTGCTACCAAAAGAGACGAGTGCTAAGTCCACCCATCAGATGTGGTTTGGTGTAGTTCTTGGACATTAGTAGCAGATACTGTTGGTAGTTGGGGATTCTCAGCAGCATTTAACAGAAACCTTTTAGAAGAATACTGTAATCAGTAGTTACTGTATGTTTAACTCATGAAAGCTTTGATGCAGAGGTTATAATCCTTCAGTGACCATGTGGTTGACTTCGGTAAACATGAGGAAAATGTCACTTTTAACAAATATTTCATTATATGTACCTTAATTGTTGATTGATGTAAGGTCTCTAGCTCATCATACATTATACATTGAATAATTGAACCATACTGAAAATGAACAAGTAAGTGAGCAGTGTTTTATTGCCAACCTCATTGATTACGTGTATGTACTTTTAAGCTTGCGTCTTCCAGTCTACTGAAAATCGGCCAAGAGACAGATAAAACTACAACAAGAAATAGAGAATCTGTTTATTTGCTACTGGATATGGTATGTCTCATTTCAGTTTAATTAACTTTTACTGATAACAAAAAAGATCCAGTCCTTAGAATGCCCCTTCTTGGCAAGTAAAAGTTTGGTTGGTGTTTTGTTTTGTGTTTGTTTCTTTTGTGATTTTTGGTTTTTCTCCATTTCTGTGATCACTCCACCCAAACCATACACTTTCTAAAAATTCCTGCAAAGACTGACACCACTCCCATTTAGCCATAGGTCAGTAATAGGAAGTAATAAGGCCAAAGGTGAGCGGTAACTGTGTGACGTCCTGTAAGGATGTGCATCCTGTAAGGATGTTCACAGGCCTTGTATTTGCCTGATATGTCAAGTTCGGTTCTCTGAGCTTCCCGCTGGCTGTGAATCTGCCTTGAGGCTCTTCTCAGAGAATTTTCCTTAGCCTTGGAAAATCAGCAGAACTCATAGCTCCATTGTTTTCCCTGATGATCTTTCCAATCACACAGGCTTGTATTAGTCTTTTTTTCTTCCTTTTGAATTCTAGAATTCACTGCGCTCCATTTAATTATAGTTGGTCTTATTTTTTTTACTTGACTTTCTAGCTTGGTTTTGGGCCTCTTAAAATGTGCCATTATATTTTAAATATTTTTTTATTCATTTTTATGTTTAGACTATTGCCAAGGATTTATGTTCTTGTGTTCCTATTGATTAATTGATAAACTTGAAATAGCATTTAAAAGTATTTTGATAGAATTCACTACGCCATGTTTGTATTTTAGATTTTGAAATAAAATGGTTTGTGTCTGTTTCTAATGAGAAGAATATAGAGTTGTTGTTTACTACTCCCATTGAGTAATTTGAATTTTGACAATTTTTTTTACTTTTCCAGATTGTACAGGAATCACCATTCCTAACAATGGATCTCTTGGAATCTTGTTTTCCTTATGTATTGCTGAGAAACGCATACCATGCTGTCTACAAACAAAGTGTTACATCTTCTGCATAGAATACTTACTCAAGACAAGCACGAGTTTTTGTTGCCTTGTTTATCTGTAAACTGTGGAACTCTTTTACCTTAAAGCCTGAAAACAGTTTTGTGGATCAAATTTTCTTCATGCTGTTGTATTTTCTGATCATTGGCTTCCTAATATGGTTGTACTACGGTATACTTGGTTGATTTAGTTGCACATTCTCAAAACTCAGTGAAATTCTATGATTTTAGAGTATCATTTGTTTGAAATACCATAACACTATGTTTTTGATAACTGATAATGAAAAAAATCTTTGCTTGTTTATTTCTGAAAATGAATTGTATTTAGTGATTATTTTAGATAGTGATATGATAGCACTCATCTGTGTGTAAATTATTTCATATAGGGAGAGTTCTGATCTGTAACTATGGTTCTTACTAAGATCAAGACTGGATGTGCATTTCTGTGATGCTTACGAATACATTTCTACTTTATTTTGAACATTTGCCAAACTAAATACTCTAACACTATTTAACCTTAGAGATGTTAGACAGCGTGAGCATTGGAAGCAGATTCTGAGTCTCTCAAACAGCAGCGTACGCTGTTGCCTGTAGAAAGCCTACTGATGATCTCGCCCCATGTCCCCGGTTGGCATCAGCACTACCACATACCCTGCTGTATAATAACACCCAAGACACTTGTCAACTGTTGATACAGGCGTTAGTCCCAAACCACTTTTTATATGTTTTAAATTTTGAAATTCAAGTGTACCTGCCATAACATAAATAAACACTAGACTGTATCACATTTTGAATTATTTCTTTAATATCTTTGGACATTTATTCGACAATATGAGGTTTTTAGTTTAAACTTTGTTTAAAGTAAACATAGGTTTAGGGATATCTTAGAGCGTTTGATAGCAGATCCATTATTATAAAATTTGTTTAAATGTTTTAGAAAATACTCCACTGGAAGAAAATACTGAAATTAGGAGTAAGACTACATGACATTGTTTTAAAGATAAGAACTAAAAGAAAGCACTTGCGTGCGTCCATGTGTGTCATTGGCTTCCTCATTTTCTCTGTTACCAAATGGAGTTGTTGAAGAGTAAAGAAAAATGCAGTGACCATGGAGCAGTGCTGTGTGGTTAAGGACCGGGTCAGTACTGGGTGGAGGTTCACAGAGTGCCTCTGCTTTGTGGTTGGCTTGGACAGCGGGGCAACACATTCAGTGTTGCCTTCTGATTGGTGTAAGATAGCCTCTTCAGCTCTGTCTGGGAAGCACAGAGAGCTGCTGTTCATACACTGATAACATCACTTCCCAACTCATTAAGCCACTCATATAAGATCCTTTGTAATTGCTTTCAGCTCAAGCTGAGGGTGCCACCAAATTGTTAAGATTTCTTTTCATCCCTTAGTGACTAATCAGTAAACACATTTCCCCTTCAATGTGGTTTGAATATTTGTTTGTTGATGGTGATATAATTTTATTGAGACACTCATAAACTTTATATGCTAGTCAGTATTTTCAGAAACCATGACATTGCTCCTTTTGTAATACTTGGAATTTAGAAAAAAACAGTAGAAAGTTGTTGCTTTCTTATGCATTTACTGCATCATACAGTAACTTGAAAAATATTGCCCATAAACTTTGGGATATGTCTGAATATTCGTGTTTCCCCAAGCTTCACATGGTGAAATGTCATCTCCAATGTAATGATGGAGTGGGCCTGTGGGAGGTGATTATGCCTTGAGGGAGGAGTTCCTTATGCCTGTTGCCATATGAAGGAGGACACAGGAAGGAAGCACAGTCTCTGAACCTGGAGGCATGCCTCGAAGACACCAGATCTGCCAACACATTGATCTTGAGATTCCTTAATATTAGCCACCCAGTCTGGGGCATCTAGTTAGAGCAGCCCACACAGACTGACATCCTGGTTCTGGAGGTGTAACTGTGGAGCGATGTAACTGGTGTTCAAGATGAAAATTCTGCTTCTGAATTTGCAGTTACATGTTGTCATCATTTAATGATGTGCACACCAGTTATAGAAAAACTGTAACAAATGTCACATAAATGCTTGCATTATAAAGACATAAAAGGGGAGTTCAAGTTACAGCTAGAATGAGTATATTTATTTAAAAGGAGATTGAACTGTTAATAAATGAGAATGCCATACTAGAGAGGGAGAGGCAACAGGATTAAGAGTTCCAGACCAGCTTGGGCTATGTCGTGAGACCTGCTCAACTGTGTTCACAGCAGCTTTATTCATAATAGCCAGAACCTGGAAACAACCTAGATGCCCCTCAACCAAAAAATGGATAAAGAAAATGTGGTACATTTATACAATAGGGTATTACTCAACTGTTAAAAACAATGGCATCATGAAATTTGAAGACAAATGGATGGAACTAGAAAGAGAATCATACTGAGTGAGGTAACCCAGACCCAGAAAGACATAGTGTGTTCTCACTTATAAGTGGGTATTAGCTGTAAAGGAAAGTATAACCATGCTACAATCCACAGACCTAGAGAGTCTAAGTAACAAGATGGGCCAAAGGGGAACTCATGGGTCTCCCTGGGAAGGGGAAATAGAAGAGATCTTGTGGGTGGACTGGGGACAAGTGGGGTTGAGAACATGAGGGGTGAGGTTGGGGGTGGATGGAAGGGGAGAGTACTGAAAGAGATGACTGGAAAAGAGGGGGAGGCATTTGGGGGTCCGGTAGAAAACTGGTGCAATGGAAACTCCCAGGAATCTATAAGGACAACCCCAGCTAAGGCTCCTAGCAATACCGAATACATAGCCTGAACTTGCCATATGTGACCAGGCAATCCTTCCAGTGGAGGGATTGGGACACCAACCCAGCCACCTAACCTTTGAGCTACAGTCTGTCCTACCTATGGGATGTCCTGGGGTTAAGAGTGGCACAGAGATTGTTGGAGTGGTCAACCAGTGACTGATCCAACCTGAGACCCATGCCATGAGAGTGAGCCTACCCATGACACTGCCTGGAGTGCCAAGACCCAGAGGCTGGATTGCCCAGAGACCTAGGATAGATCCAAACATGACTGGAGAAAGAAAGTCAATATAATGATGCCTACTGATACTCTGCTGTACTCTTAGATAGGTGACTACCCCAGTTGTTATCAGCCTTCATCCAGTAGCTGATGGGAACAAATTCAGAAACCCACAGCCAAACATTAGGCTGAGCTCAGGGAATCTTGCTGAAGAGAGGGAGGAAGGATTGTACAAGTCAGGGTGTCAAGGACATCACAAGGAAACCCACAGAAATAACTAACCGTAGGCCTGTAAGAGTGCTCAGAATCTGAACCAACAACCAGGGAGCTGGCATGGGACTGACCTAGGTCCTCTGCATATATGTGACAGCTGTGTAGCTTGATCTACTTGTAGGACTCCTAATAGTGGGAGCAGGGGCTGTCCCTAACCTTTGGCTGGCTCTTGAGAACTTATTCCTCATGCTGGGTCACCTTGCCCAGCTTTAATACAAGGGGAGGTGCTTAGTCCTACCACAACTTGATATGCCATGCTTTGTTGATAAGCATGGGAGTCCTGTCCCTTTCTGAACAGAAACAGGAGGAGTGGATTTGGGGGGTGGGGGAAGAAGAGTGAGGGAAAACTGTGGTCAGATGTAAAATACAAAAGCTAGCTTACAGATTAGATATAGTCATAACCTATATGATGACTGTCGTTGGTACACACGTGGGCATCATAAAGTATGATGAAGTAGGCATTTAGTTACTTGTTTAACCTTGCGGAGGCTAACACTAAAGAGTAAAGAATACACTACTTCCCAGGTCTGAGCTGTCATTTCTTTCCTAATTTTTACCTAACAGTCCTGGTGCACAAACAAGGATCTTGTGTGCAGCCTGATGCAAGGTCCAGCTGGAAGAACTTGAGGAGGCAAGGCAAGGAAAAATTTAACCTTGGCCGGTGCTACTGACTGTCCATGCCAACAATACTGGCTGAGGCAATAATGAGAGTAATGTTTATTGAGAACTTGCTATGTATCTTGTGCTGTATTTATCGAAATGTAACCTTAAGCTAACATTCATTTAGTTCTCAGTCCTATATGATGGTAAGCCCATTTACTGGTGTGGTTACTGAATATCAGGAAAGATATTTGTATAAACACTGCAAGGAACACAAGTGAAGGTGCAAATGCAGTCCAGAAGCTGCATGTTTGCCTCTTAAATTACTCACATAAGGATGTGGAGTTTTCTGTTCAACAGCACTGAAAGCTTGTGTACTCACTGAAGTGCAAGGCGTAGAGAGCAACACTAAGTTCTTACACTACTCGGGTACTTTCATGTCCATGTTCATTTCATCTCAACCAAAGTGCTCACTAGGAATTTTCCCCAGTTGTCATAAATGAATGAAGAACTGTCTCTCAAATAGGTCTCCTGCATAGTATCAATAGAACCATTGAATAATAATGTTCAAGTGCGTGAGTGTTGCCTTTCTAGCCCCCCATTTTTAATACTGTGCCATGCTCTTTTCCAAGTACTAAAACAGTTTCCTTGATGAATGACTGGGTGGGCTTGGTACTGTGCCCACTCCTTGGTCCTTACTGATCCTAACTTTGTTATTTGTCATCTGTCACTCCTGTTGGCCTCAACTTCATGTACTGAATCAAATCCCATTCCTCCTCCATTTCCATGTTATCGTTTGAATCTGTAGTGCCATACATTCAAGGGCTGGTTAACAGCACACCGTGAGAGGTTCATGAATCCTGATGGCTCTGCCTTAGTTCTCTTCTGCATTGCTATGACAAGGCCCCTGATAAAAGTAATTTAAGGAAATAAAGAGGATTTCCCTCACAATTTGGGGGTACATTCCATCATGTAGTGTAGCATGAATCTTAGATGGTCTTATTAATAAAATCAAACCCAGGGCCAGGTATTGGGGTGAATGCTGGAAGATCAGAGAAGCAGAACAAGCCACCGCCACCTCACCTCTCCAGTTCCTTAGTTGATCCTGTTTCCTCAGACTGGAAGCCTCTGTGTCCTCATCCGAATAGGTCTCATCTGAACTGCTGCTCAAAAGCCTAAAAGTTTAACCAGCTCTAGTTCCTGGTCCTCACGCCTTATATACCTTTCTGCCTCCTGCCATCACTCCTTGGGATTAAGGGCATGAGTCACCATGCTTGGCTGTATCCTTGAACACACAAAGATCCAGATGGATCTCTGCCTCTAGAATGCTAGATTAAAGGCGTGTGCTACCACTGCCTATCCTCTATGTTTAATATTGTGGCTTTTCTGTTCTGTGACCCCAGATATGTTTACTAGCGTGCACAATATTTCAGGGAACATAATACCACCACAATGTAGAGAAGCCATGGCAGCTGGAGTGTGAGGCAGCTGATCACTTTGTATCCTCAGTCAGAAAGCAAAGAGTGGCAGCTGATGTTCAGTTCCTTTGATGCAGTTTGAGGACCCAACCTATGGAATTGGTACCACCTTCACTTAGGATGTATTTTCCCACCTCAGTTTGCCCAGCTGTGATGGCTACTTTTGACTGCATCTAGAATTAACTAAAACAGCTGGGTGCTGTGGGATGTCTTTCTGTACACTGTGAATATGTGTTGCTCTGATTGGTTGATAAATAAAGCTGCATTGGCCTATGGCAGGGCAGGATAAGGTTAGGCGGTACATTCAAACTAAAGACAAAAGGAAGAAGGGTGGAGTCGAGGAGATGCCAGCCTGATGCCAAAGGAGCAACAAGATGCCAGCAGACTAGTAATGCCACGGTCATGTGGCAACATATAGATGAATAGAAATCGGTTAAGTTA